AATTTATGGCTTTATAGAAGTCTTGCAAGTTTTATATTATTAACCTAGTTATATACTGAGCGAAACGAATACCAACATCAATTATGCTTGCGTCAATACAAGGAATTGATTGTGCACAGCAAGATTAATTTTTTTTCCTCCCTGAGAAATCACCATTATTCAAGGATTTCCTTCGACGAAGAGTGCCTCGAACATCTCATTTTAGGCCCTTTGAAGGGTGCGGACACGCTGGTCATGTTGTTAAACAGCTGAACAAAAAACATGAGACAAAATATGTTCTATAAGAGATGGAATTTTATTTTGCCATACCTCTTCATTGAACGAGTGCAGACGACATATTATTATTTGAAACTCTAAAGTGGCGTAACACCAAAGGCACATAATACTAATTTTTCAGAACTGACGTTTCAAATCTGAGTATTATGACAATTCTGAAATGTCAGTGGTGACAAGCAAAAATCACCTCATTCCAAATTAACAGGGTTTGTTTAATTTTTTTCATTTTCAGCATTCCTATCAACACATAGGCATCAAAACTATTTATCACTCTTTTCATAATCCTCATATTTTTATTCGTTTTAGCCTTCTACATTTTGTTTGTGTTAGTATTCTTCATATATATAATGATATGTACGTGCTCTGTATTTTTATACTTTCTTTTTGTGAATTGTATAATTGGCTTGTCCGTTAATAAATATAGTTAGTCTCCTAACAAGTGCGCAAAGTGTAACTTTTCTGCACGCAATTACAGTTAGGCGAACGACGCGGAGCGGAGTTCGAATAAGTCTTTGAGTGCGGAAAAGACACTTTGCGCACGTGTTAGGGACAACTTTTTTCCTACAAGCTTCATATCAGATAAGGGAAAATAAAAAAGTAATAACTTATTAAAAAATGTAACTATACAAGAATCACATATAACAATAAAATTTAATAATAGAAAATCACATTTTCCCTACGAGCTTCATATCAGATAACGACAATGAAAAAATTACATATCAATAGAATATAATGATAGAAATATAAATCATTTGTTCTCAATATTTATATTGAGGTGCAATACGAATATCGGGAAAGACGGTTGAGAAGTAAAAGGGATAACGGCTTCTTATAGTGCATACCTACAGCAACTAAAATGAGTATAAATGTTTCATACCAGTGAGATTTCTGGGTAGTTTAACGTATCCGCACCGTGTGCGGAAAAGTACTACTTTGCACACGCAAATGAGTGCGGTAAAGGACTACTTTGCGCACGCTCCTAGAAAAAATAAAAATCTTGACCTATTTTTTCTTTCGTTCGTTCTCCCATAAATTTCGAACACATAGATTATTTTATTGTTGGATGTTTTTCTCATGTATAAAAACCCCTATGCATGGAATCGAACAAACATCGTAGTGGTACAAGTATGAGAGAATAGATAAATTGGATAATAATAGGAGGGTTAGACCAACTGTAATTGAGTAAGCACTGCGGAGACTGGAAATCTCTATTATTTCTGAAGCTGAAAGGATTTAGGATGGTTTTCCAGATTTTTATGACCCTTGATTGTACGGAGAAGGAAAATAAGAAAAACGACGCAAACATTTCGTAGAAAAGTAAGTAAAGCTCTGAATATAAGAAGGATCATACAGGGATGTCCAATTCATTACTTTTGATAGGTGATAGGATAAAAATTGCTGACTTCCATGGATATAGTATTTTGTCTACGGCTATAACACAAGATTTCTCTTGTGTTACTGTGGTCGATAAATCAATGAGGTACTTTGTATATCATCAATTTTATTTCCGTATCTGATATCACAATGAGTTTATTGTGTTATTATTTCCCAGAACCTCATCTCCCATGAAATGTCAAATTTCAAGCAATGTCTAAAAGATGACCACGAGGATAAGAATTCCTACACACATAAAATAGTATATTATGTAACAAGTGTTATAAAAGTCCTTTTAGTAACGAGTAGTTTAAGCACGAGCGGAGCAGAGCGGAGCGAGTGTTTAATAAACGAGTGTCTAGAAGAGTTTATAAACGCGTTACATACTATGATTTTTCTACGAACTCCGAAAATTACATTAACATACCTGCAATTCCTGCTAACCTACAAAATGATTCGAAAGGAATGGGAATTGAGAACATAATACATGCAACTGCATGCAACCAGCGAGACACGTATAAGTGATATTGGTTGTAGATGTGTCCAGTTCATTGCTTACTAACCTTTGTTTCATGTTTATTGTCATGCTTAGCGCAGAATAAATGAATTGTTCTCAAAGATGGATGCTTCATTTTTACACTTCTTGGAGATATGCAAGTACCAGAACATTCTCTTTGATTCCACTTTCGTCTACTTTTCGCATATATTTTTGATGAAGGATTCTGATACAAACGAATATTGTATTGAATAATTCTGATACAAAATTCGAAGATAACAGTTGACAGTTAATACAATTGACAGGCTAGACATGTCTCAAATTACTGAAGCTGTGTTTAATGAACTGCGTTGCCATGGTAATGTGTTTAAGAAATCGTGTTGCCATGGTAACGTGTTTAATATTTTGAATGAATCACAGATCGACAATCCGTGATTAATCGATCATTTAGCATGGTACATATCCGTACGCTGAACGCCATTCTAGTTATGTGAGTAGGAACAATATTTTTCGTTCCAAGGAAATATATTTTATCAAAACGAATTACTTTGAATGAGAATATATTTTGTAATTCTGAATAAATATTCTTGAAAATAGCATCTCGCTCTTCTCAAATCAATATTTTTATTTCTCCGACTATATTGTTTCATTCAAGAATACATACTCAATCTAAACATTTTTAAATTCTCTAGTGAAAAAAATATTGATTCTTGTATCGAATATCACTATCATTTTGATTCAATAATTATCATCTATTGCTCTCTTCATTTGAATTTTCCATTATTTTGTTTTGGGGAAATATTTATTCTTGTATAAAACATCACCATAATCTTGACTCACCGACATCGATCGCTTGGACATTTAATTTTAATTTTCATTGAAATAATTGGACATCTTTGGTTCAAACCAATATATTTATTGTTACACACGAAACAAATAAATAGTCGAATTTTGTGAAAAAACGACTTTTTTCTGAGACGGGAAAAAAGTTTGGCATTTCATCTCTGTTGGTAGGTTATAAAATGTCACTTTTCATAAATTACTTTTTTCCCATGGGAAAGAAGTGAGTACTTTTTTCCCGGATATATATCACATATATAAACACTGTTGATGGCTTTTGTTGTGCTATAGTTCCGAAAAATGAGTCAATAATACCGTCTCCGAGAAAGAACTGCAAGTCCTTTTATCTTCCATTCGACTTCACGGTTACATATATTACTAAACAACCACTGAATTCGAAATTTTTTGAAATCAAATCACAGAATTAGACTGACAGAAGTGACATATATTTGATTACTTCAAAAGAACGCAGGTTACTGTTAAAAACTTAAAATTTCACGTCGATAATTTTCAGATTTCAAAATAATGTGATATCTTCTCAATATTGATTCGTCCTTTCTTCTCTTACATGAAAAAATAGTGTATCATACGGGAAAAATATTAGATTTTAGCTCACGGTTTTTTGTCTCCCTCCGCTACGCGACGGGAGACAACACAACCGGGAGCTAAAATCTACTACTTTTTTCCCTTGTATGATAAATAACTATTGATTTTTCTGTCACGTCTCAATCAATTGAGATTTTGTCCGAACAGAAAATAAGGTAAGATGAATGCTCGCTAAATAAAGGTCTCTTCATTTTCAATTCAAACTGCATATGCACCTGTCGAAATGACGTTGACCTTATTCGACACTGCAACATCTCTTCAATATTTATAACAACAAATTGCAAATGGACCTGTTAAGATCTGCACTAGTCAGAGTATGTAGTCATTAAGTTTAATTAGAGTGTCTCTAGAGATTTCAGTAAGAAATAACGATCACAAATTATCTCTTCATACCTTTGATATGCTGATATGGTCGTTCATTAAAATTGCTCTGACAACTTCAGTTTCATCGTCTGATTCAAAATCAACTTTTTAATGAAGCATTTGAATAAAAATCACCCCAGTTCTATAATAAATCAACATTGATACATTTCTCAATCGCTCTCTCTGCACGGATGACACTTTTTATTATAGCGAAAATATGCAGAGTGAATTTTCATCAGGAATTTCAATACAATGAATTGATATGATGAATAATTCTTGGGATAAGCGCATATATCTGAAAAATATTCGGAAGAGTCGACAATTGAGCTTGAAATGTGATGAAAAAAATTATGCAGTGATTTAAATTAGGCAAACGAAGCTTGATCCCATTCAAGACGAAAGCAGAACAAAGGAAAAGTTGTGCTCAATTACTCGAATTCAAGTTCTGATTCGCAGCAGATTCGATCGAAATGTTCAGAATTCACCGCTATATTCCTCGTATAGGGTGTGGAATTGGTCGAAAACAGCATTGAAACAGTGAAAATAGGAATGTATAGTTAGTTGCGTTACCATTCATAAAATTTTTCAATACTTTGAAATTGATGGCCCTGTATCTCCAATATGATTTTGCCAAAATTCAACTTCTTTTCTGATTCAATAAGAATGCACGGCACTGCGATATGATGTTTTGTTTCTGGAAAAATTAGCATATTCATGATTTCTGAAACCAGTTCGAATTTCTTGGGAGTCGATGCTTTGGCGGACAGAATTCTGCGTATTCGCCATTTATTCGATTTTCCGAATTCTGAATAATTTCATTGCAGTGAATTATGATATCGCAGGTCTCCTATACTTTCATCATGGTAACTTCATGTTGATATAGATATTGTGGAGGAAGTTGTTATATTTCCATGTTTGAACTCCTTCCAAGTCCCATTTATTCTATTTCCTTGGTGAAAATCTGAGGCGCTTTCGCCATTTATTCAAATAGGCAAAAAGCCTGTTTTGGTGATGATTATCCCTTATACAAAAACTTTTTTTTCAGGATCTTCAAACTTCGGCTATATCCAGACGAAAAAGTGTTCGCGGACGATATTTCCTTTGAATCCACGAACGGAAATATCGATTTTGATCCAGGAGTTGTTTACAGTGGCACGTTGGAAGGTGAGACTTTTTGAAATTAATTCCCCATCTCCTTATTGATTGATTAGAGAACCCTAAAGATACTTTCTACCCTAGAATTCTACTTGTACAGTGTAACTACCCTGGTATTCTGATCTATCAGATGGTCAATGAATAGAGTTTCAGTCGATATACAGGGTGATTCATTAAGAATGGGAAATCTCTGAACTACAGATAGTAAACACAAAAATAAAGAGATTCAGCCCAATATGCCTGATCAGAATGTTGCTGGTTTAGGAGATACAGGGTGTTCTAGGGGGAGATTTTATTGAAAAATTTTACAATAACTTTGTTAGTTTTAACAGCATGAACATGAAATCTTGTATTTTATATAAATTTGCGACTTATTTTGGGATTGCTCATAGAGAGCGCTCTCTGTTACTTCGATAATTTTACATCATATCTTCTATGTCAATTCATTGATTATCAAAATTAGTGGAAAATCTGAGAGCCCGTTCAATTTCACATGAAAAATGTACTCTTTATCAAACTGTCTAGCTTCAACGGTTTTTGTGTTATTCGCCCTTGAAGAGATTTATTTTCCACTTATGACATTTTAATAATTTTATTTATCAAATTAAGAATGGGAAATCTCTGAACTACAGATAGTAAACACCCAAATATGAAGATTCAGCCCGACATGCCCCATAAAAATATTGCTGGTTTAAGAAATACAGGGTGGTTAAGGAAATCCGTTTATAGCGATTTTATAATATGATATTTTGACGATGGGCATTGGCACCAATGGTTTAAATAAACTTCACTCCATTACTTTATCAACTGGGCTGAAGATGGATTGTTATAGGTCCGAAACATGTGCCCCTGGATAACTTCCATAATTGAAAGAGTGTGGAGATTACTTTGAGCATTCCTTCTTTCCTTTGAAACATTCCACTCCACTACCACTACCACTACCAGAGACTTCGAATATTTTTGTTGAGTCCTCCATGTTTTCCAAATTTTCAGAATCGTGCTACTTTGAGTTCTCCATATACATGGTGTCCCGAAATTAGAATGTCATACTTTAGTAGCAGATTCTTCGACCAGAAATAGAAAGAAAAGTTTCAATAAACGTGAGTCGAAAAATGTCTCCTTATAGGAAGCTATACGGTCTCCTTAAAGGAGAGTCCTGAAGATGATATTTCTTGAATATTTCCGAAACGCTGCACTATGGACATGGAAAGTTCAGTTCTTGTACCAGTTTGCATCATTTTATTACATGGCGTTTCAGAAATATTCAGGAAATATCATGTTCAGGACTCGGTTCAGGAGCATCAGCGTCAGCTTGAATTCATTGAAACTTTTCCTCCTATTTTTGGTCGAAGAATCTGCTACTGAAGTATAACAGGCTAATTTTGGGACACCCTGTATGGATCGTTTTAGCTTATGAAGATTTACCCTGTATATTTATTATTCCAGATTTTTTTTTCGGATTTTCTCTCCTCATCTCTATAAAATGAAAATATGAAAACTATTTCAATATACGTGTAGTTAGGTCAAATCGAATGATTTGCCCGAAAATGTCAATGCGTTTAAAGAATTTTCCTATCAGAGCGCCGGAAAGAAAAATTCACTAGATTGTCAGTGACAATTTATTTTAATAAAGGTTTGGAGAAGAGAACTGAAGGTTTATAGTAGAAATATCGAATTTTGTGCAATTTTGATCAACCTTGTAAATCTTTCGACAGTCTCATATAGGTATATCGAAAATCACCAGAAATCTCTCAATCCTTGATGAATCTAGCGAATCCTTGAGAAATCCTTAGGAATCCGAGAAATCTTGGGAATCGTCAACGAATCTTGAAAATCTCGAAGATTTTTGGGAGATACCATCAGGAATCATGATGAACATTCAGGAATCTCTCAATCTTTGATAAATCCAACTAATCCTTAGAAAATCCCTAGCAATCTGGAGGAATATTGTGAATCTTGTGAATGTTGATGGATTGCTACAAATATCATCAATATTGTTTCGAATCTCACAACATCCAATCTGGTGTCCACAATATGTTGAAGTGAGACACCCCTGTATGCATAAATATGAGACTCGTCTGACACATTAAGGTATAGAGGAATAAATGGTATACTGTGAAGCGATGTATTCAAATTGAGAATATGTTCGAGAGATAAGGCTGCAGGTAATCCCTTGACAATTAGAGCTATCAAAACGGGATTATAATTTGGCAAGCAAACTCCTTACTGTCGCAATAAAACCCGGAATTTCCATAACAACTCCGTCGGAGCACGTGATCTCCGTGTCGGAGTCAGAGAAAGCAGGACCGGCATGTACAGGAGGGGATTTCAAGGTCGTTCTGTCGGTCGTTATTTTTTTCCCTTCAGAATGAAATATAATGCATGAATACTGTCTGTTGGTTAATCGAGTAGGTGATGAATTTTTCTTTAAGGCTCTCTGATAGGAAAATTCTTTAAACGCAGTGACATTTTGAGGCAAATCATCTGTTTTGTCCTTACTACACGTATATATTGAAATGATATTAACATTTTTATTTTATAGAAACGATGAGAGGAAATCCCAAAAATCTGGAATAATAATGTATGAATATAAAATTTTCAAAAATGCACCAAAATCACTAATACATTGAATTTCAATAGTGAGTTATGGATTTTTCATATGAAAAACGTTTCAATCAAAGGAATATTTCCTTTGATTTTTCAAACAAAACACAAAACTTAGGTTTCTAATAGCAACAAATAAATGGTAATGAGAAGTTCATAATGTCGAATTAGCACCTGATTAATTATTTACTAAAACATTTGGAGTTCGAAATTATTCAGTAACTTTCTCAAAACGTCTCAATGCATTCAGAATCATTGTAATTCCTGGAAAACTGAATGTTGTTCCACGAAATTCTACAAGATGCTTCTTTCTGTAGACGTATTCAGAAAGTGTATCAATTGTGTGTGTGGGAAAATGGTCATCAATTCGAACAATTCAATGAATAAGTTACTGAATAATTTGAAAATTCAATTCTTTTAGTAAATATTCAATCAGGTGCTTATTCTACATTATGAACTTTTTATTTCTATCCATATATCGCTATCAGGTACCTAAATTCTATGTTCTGTTAGTTGATTACTGTTTGTATTGTTTTCATCGATCAAAAGCAATATTCCTCCAATTTTGTTTGAGTCGTATTTCCAAAGCCATACCCCGAAAATTTTGAGTGCGCCACTGGATTCTGCGTATAATTCTTTATGGAACAAGATTAGAATTTGTCAATTTTGCTGAGAAACTTAAAAAATCGCCCTGTATCTCAGAAACAGAAAGAGTTATGCAAAATCTGATGAGGCCATCTTGAATTTGACAAAAACGTGACACAAGACCGCAAAAACTGCAGGGTTCTATCTCTAAAAATAACTGTGATATCACGCAAAAGCAGCGAGAACGGAAAACACTTCATTCAAATCTGACACACCCTGTATAGATTGGGGACAATGTTGATGCGGGACAATTAAGCGATCACCCCCAGACGTTAGATGCGGGCTAATACCGAAAGTTTTGATTGCAGTTTGTGAGGCTGTTCTAGGAATATAATAATAATAAGTTTGTAGCAGCCAATAACTAGCATCAAACTATCCCAATATGAATCGATTCGCATCACCAGGGGGGCGGTTATCAAGGATAATTTCCCAAGACCTCTTGACCTCATCCATAATCTCCTTTCAATAGTATCAGGAGGAGGTCCATCTAAGAGGAGTTTGATAGAGTAATGTGTTGAATGGGCGTGTAGAACTTGTAACTCAAACCATGTTCAGTTGATATAGATAGAACATGATATTCACTATTGAAATATGGAAATGAATATGGTAAATTCAATAATGATTAATGAAAACATCCTGTAAATCATTTGATTGCCAACGTCACCAATGGGCGTGTACACCTTAGTAGAACTTTCAACTCAAACCATGTTTATAATGATCCTTTTATACATAAATAATGATTGACGACATAACTCGATCGAAAAATTAACTGGAATGTTTTATTTTTGGACATAAATAATAGTACCTTCTGTAAACGGACCCTCTTATGACGTGGAAACCTCATCTCGCCATAGTTAAAAGAAAATACCAAACGCTCGACGGAGACTGAGGCAACTGATATATTAATTCTTTCAACTGTGATCTCGCGCTAATTCCCTCTGTCAGAAATCATGTATCATTCTTCTCTGTCTCGAATAGTCCTGTTTCAGTATTAGGGTTTTGACGTCACATCATCGCCTCGTTTTCAGAGGTCCGAAAAATCGGGGATTTCAATAATTTTTTATAAAACGTAGGGACCTCACAGAAAGAAACGGTTTGCGGTGGTGAGCTAGTTTGGGTGAGTTCTATCGAATTATGAAATAAATTTTTTTTGAAAACTGAAAAGTGTCACGACAAATACGAATTTGCGATACAAAAAATCCATTCTTTATGTTGAAAATGTCCTAAGCTGAGTAAACATTGAAACTTCTTTCTCTCTCACACTCATTGAGCATATAGAAACTTAAAACGCGCATATCTGCGTAATTGTTTGAAATAACCCTATCAGACCCGGTATCGATGAACTCGTTATGATAATCCCTTACCGATTATGGAATACAATACAGGGTGTCTCATTTGAAAATCAAAAGTTGGGATCGTTTTCAGTAAAACCGGAAAAATTGCTTCGTCAATTAATGAGCAATTTGGTATACTAGCTGACCACCAATTTTCAAAACCCTATCTCGAATAATTCAAAAGTTACAGTCCTGGTCGTTTTTTGTGCACTTCTCTGTATGTTGGGAAATGTGGATGGCTATGTGGTTAGAAAGTCGGAATACAGTTTCCGAACAAAGGAAAAGTTTTCTGTAACTTTGTGCGCTCGTGGCTCGAATTCAATATTTTCTTGTGTGTTTTCGTCTGCCACAAAGTAGAATCCAATAATGTATCACCTACGAGGTGTATCCCGTTTTTTGGCTCATTTCCACAAATGGTATTATGCA